AGACTCTACCCATAAAAAACGTTTGGTTCCCTTTGCTTCCGCGCGAGATGCAAATTCCGCAGCTTGATCTCGTATTGGCGTTGTGTCATCTCGAGAGCGCATCAGGACCATGCCAGGGCCATGGTGTCGTGCTCTGGCATTGCTTGGGCCACTGTGTGCCCTTTTGGGGGCCATCGTATGGTCCTGGAGACATCCTTTGATCGCCTGTTGCATATTCGTCGGGCCGCCTTTGGGTTGCCCAGCGGCCTGCGGGAAGCCACGTCGACATCATGTGCGGATCACTGGGCCCTTTTCAGGTCGCCTTAAGGGCGCGATGGGCTTGCGTCGCGTTGACGTCACGGCGACCCCGCCGCGGGCGTTCAAGCTTGAACGCCGCCAGTGGCATCGGCAATGCGGAACGATTTGGCGATCGGAATGCCGCCGATCGTGCGAGGTTGAACGATTCGCGGGGTGTCGAAAATCAACGCGAGGGGCGTCCCGACACGAATTTGCCGCAATGTCGGGTTGATTTATGTTTTGGGGCCATCTTGGAAACGCACTGGAGTCGCGGGGCCGCCTTGGCATCGGTTTGGGTCCTATTGAGGTCTTGTGCGTTTCCACGGGAACTTTTGTTGCGGCAAACTAGTACAAGGTCCTCCCTGAGGGATATTTATTTGGTAATGTCCTTTACACGGAATATATACTGAGGAATCTTTGCTAAAAAATGATTGGTGAAGATTCTTTACGCTTCGCGTATCCCCACCAGCCCATCTCAAAACAGCAACTCTTGCGAAGCATGCCGACAGTCGTGTTTTTCAGGCGTGTGTCCGCTTGCCCCCGCATATCTCCCCTGTTCCTCCTTCCTCCCGCCTCCTTGTACATCCTCCTTGTGGTGGGAGCGGGAGAAGGACGAGGCGGAGGAGGAGGGAGAGAAAGCGGTGGGAGGCAAGAGGGATTTAGCGGAGACGACGACCACAGCGATGATCCTAACAACGACGACGCACCCGACGACGACGACGATATCGACCGCAACGACGACGACGACCACAAACGACGACGACGACGACGACGACGTCGACGACGACGACGACGAAGGCGGCGGCGACGACGACGACGACGACGACGACGACGACGACTGGTGGGAGTCGTTGGGGCCCCTCGTGGTGTGAGTCGTTCGGCCCCATCGTCCTTGTGTGAGTCCTTCGGGCCCCTCTTCCTGGTGTGAGTCGTTCGGGCTCCTCGTGGTGTGAGTCGTTCGGGCCCCTCGTCCTGGTGTGAGCCGTTCGGGCTTCTCGTGCTTCGAGTCGTTCGGGCTCCTCGTGGTGTGAGTCGTTGGGGCCCTTCTTCCTGGTGTGAGTCGTTCGTGCTCTTCGTGGTGTGAGTCGTTCGGGCTCTTCGTCCTGGTGTGAGTCGTTCGGGCTTCTCGTGGTGTGAGTTGTTCGGGCCCGTCGTCCTGGTGTGAGTCGTTCGGGCCGCTCCTCTTGGTGTGAGTCGTTCGGGCTCCTCGTGGTGTGAGTCGTTCGGAGCCCTCGTCCTGGTGTGAGTCGTTCGGGCTCCTCGTGGTGTGAGTCGTTCGGGCGCCTCGTCCTGGTGTGAGTCGTTCGGACCCCTCCTCCTGGTGTGAGTCGTTCGGGCTCTTCGTGGTGTGAGTCGTTCGGGCCCCTCGTCCTGGTGTGAGTCGTTCGGGCTCCTCGTGGTGTGAGGCGTTCGGGCACCTCTTCCTGGTGCGAGTCGTGCGGGCCCCTCGTAGTAGTAGTAGTAGTAGTAGTAGTAGTAGTAGTAGTAGTAGTAGTAGTAGTAGTAGTAGTAGTAGTAGTAGTAGTAGTAGTAGTAGTAGTAGTAGTAGTAGTAGTAGTAGTAGTAGTAGTAGTAGTAGTAGTAGTATTAGTAGTAGTAGTAGCAGTAGTAGTAGCAGTGTAGTAGTAGTAGTAGTAGTAGCAGTGGTAGCAGTAGCAGTAGCAGTAGTAGCCGTAGTAGCAGCAGTAGTAGCAGTAGTAGTAGTAGTAGTAGTAGTAGTAGTAGTAGTAGTAGTAGTAGTAGTAGTAGTAGTAGTAGTAGTAGTAGTAGTAGTAGTAGTAGTAGTAGTAGTAGTAGTAGTAGTAGTAGTAGTAGTAGTAGTAGTAGTAGTAGTAGTAGTAGTAGTAGTAGTAGTTAGTAGTAGTAGTAGTAGTAGTAGTAGTAGTAGTAGTAGTAGTAGTAGTAGTAGTAGTAGTAGTAGTAGTAGTAGTAGTATCAGTAGGAGCAGTAGTAGTAGTAGTAGTAGTAGTAGTAGTAGTAGTAGTAGTAGTAGTAGTAGTAGTGGTATTACCAGTATCAGCGGTAGTAGCAAACGTAGTCGTCCACGTCGTCGTCGCAGTAGTTGTCTCAGTAGCAGTGGCAGTCACTAGAGCAGTGGTCTATATGGAAGTAGTAGTAGTATTAGTAGTAGTAGTACTAGTCGTAGTAGTAGTAGTAGTAGTAGTAGTAGTAGTAGTAGTAGTAGTAGTAGTAGTAGTAGTAGTAGTAGTACTGGTAGTAGTAGTGGCCGTAGCACCATGAGTAGAAGTAGTAGTACTAGATTTAGAAGTAGTAGTAGTAGTAGTAGTAGTAGTAGTAGTAGTAGTAGCAGTAGCAGTAGCAGTAGTAGCGATGGTAGTCTTAGTAGTAGTAGTGGTAGTTGTCGTGGTAGTCGCAGTAATAGGAGTAGTAGTAATCGTAGAAGTAGTAGTCTTAGTACTAATAGCAGCAGCAGCAGTAGTAGTAGTCCCAGTAGTAATAGTAGCAGTGGTACTTGTAGCAGTGGTAGTGGTAGTACTAGTAGTAGTAGCAGTAGTAGTAGTTGTAGTAGTAGTAGTAGTAGTAGTAGTAGCAGATCTAGAACTAGTAGTAGTAGTAGTAGTAGTAGTAGTAGTAGTAGTAGTAGTAGTAGTCGTAGTAGATTCCACCACCAAGGAAATCTTATTATAATGTATATAGATGTTGGAAACATGGTGTTTTCACAAAGATTCAGAGCATTTCAATCAAACCAATGAAAACACCAATCGGTACCATTTGTGTTTCCACAGAGATTCAGAGATTTTTGAATACAAATATTGTTTTCATTGCCAGGCCCAGGGGTTCGGAGATTTTTTTTTATTGATTTCAAGTATGTTTTTGTGCATGAACACGCTGTGAAACCTTAGTTATATATATATACATATATATATGTATATATATATAAAATAAATAGAAACGCGTTGTCAATCATGTGTTTCACAAAGGTTGAATGACTTTATGCGAAATTCTTAAGAATCTCTGTGGAAACACATGGTATTCAATATTTTTCTAATACAAAACTAAAGGAAACCCATGTTTTTCACAGCGTTTTCGTAAACCACCATTACACATAGTTGGAACACCATTAAATTTTCTGAATCTTTGAGCCTGGCAATGAAAACACATTATTCTTAATTGAAAAAATTGGAATCTCTGTGAAACACAGATAAAATCAATTGTTCTCCGTTGTTTTCATTGAAATTCTCTGAATCTCTGTGAAAACACAGTGTTTCCAGGATCCCCTTTATGGCGGAATATACTTGGATTTCCTTTGTGGCGGATTACAAGAAGAATTCCATTTGTTCCGGAATACAAGAGAATTCCTTTTGTGGCGGAGTACAACTGAATTCCCTTTATGGCGGAATACACAAGAATTCCCTTTGTGGCGGAATACAAAAGGATCCCCTTTATGGCGGAATACAAATGGATTTCCTTTGTGGCGGGTTACAAAAGAATTCCCTTTGTGGCGGAATACAACAGGATTTCTTTTTGTGGCGGAATGCAAAAGGATTCCCTTTGTGGCGGAATACAGAAGAATTCCTTTTCTGGCGAAATACAAAAGGATTTCCTTGTTATTGCGGAATACAAAAGGATTCTCTTTCTAGCAGAATACAAAAGAATTCCCTTTGTTGTGGAATACACATAGATTCCTTTTGTGGAGGAATACAAAGGAATTTGTTATTGTTGAGGAATACAACAGGGATTCCTTTCGTGGCGGCTTCTCACCCCCCCACATCCCAAGGACGACCCCCCACCCCACAACGAATGCAAAACGCTTCGTCGTAGGTCACTCTGCAATGTAATCACGTATTAACATGTCGATACGCGCATGCTAACAAAGGAACGCCTAGGAAAAACATCTGGCGGCGTACGAATGCACATGGCTACGCATGAATACGCAAACGGGCATACGGTTCCATGTGGTGAGCATAGCGACACACGGCTGGGGATTGGTACACAGGAGTCCATTTGGCGCCACGTCGCTACATTGGGTGAATAATAGCGGCATCTGACGACACGCTGCAAGCCATGTGGGGGCATCTTATTGTATCCATGCGTCATGCAAAGGGGCCAGATGGCTACATGTGACGGCACGGGATCACATATGCATGTATAGGATTATGCGTACATCGGGCTGCATATGGATACGCGTGATGGTGTTTGCATGACGTCACATAGCGATATACGAATACCCAGGGCCGCGCCAGGGCAATCTAATTGGTGGATGGGCGACTGTGAGGCCAGCCCGTACGAACAAAAGGGGCTCACATAGGCATGCATATGTTGATTCGTCTCCTCATGCAGCGCAGAGAAAACAGGAGGTCACACAGCCGTCTAACTCTCTTTTCTCTGCATCTCACGGTGCGTGTTCCGGCTTCTTCTCTTCAAGAGGTGGTCCCTGCCCTCCTGCCACCCGGCTCTCCTTGGCCTTTTCGCCTCCGTCAGGTGCTGTCTGCGCTTCCTGCCTCCTGCGCTCCTTTTGCATTGTCCATCGGTTCGTTTGCCTGTATGGGTACACGAATGAGCGAACTGGTATTATCAGGGATCAGGGCGTGTCTCCAGTTGGAGCATTTCCCAGTGGCTCGTCCAAGCCTTGGCAGATACTGACGAAGTTGTCGTCGCCACATTTTTTTACACCAGCGCCTCCACATCGATGCCCTCCCTCGTTGCCTCTGGTTGTTCCCCAGGCCTCGCACTTCCTTTCTGCGCCGCCTGCTCAACACAAGGCGGATACTGAAGGGGTCGTCGTCGAGATCAGCGAGGCCGATGCAGATGACGAGGCGCGAGGGCCGCAAGGGGCTCAACGTACATGCTCGATCGTTTCAGTCATTTCCGACTCTTTCCGCTGGTGGCTTTTGATGGTGGGCCAAGGCTACTTGCATACGAGGGCCTGTAAGTAAAAACCATTCTACACATGTGCGAATGAAGTCTCCTTCTCCTCCTCCTTATCATCCCCCGAACCGGGGAGGGGGATATGATTGGTTTGGTCTCCGCTGGCTCCACGAATTCCCTGCACGGACCCTTCGAAGGGTGATGCGTACGGAAGGTACGGTTGTAGCCCTCGTGCGAGGATGACGTCCTCAATCGGGAGACAAACTCTATACACCGACGCTTTTTCCGGCCCTACACTGACGCTTTCACAGGAAAGCGGATCCTGGTGTATACGGGATTTTGGTGTATAGATTTTTCGATGTTCCCCCAGGAAAAAATACACACCACTCCACCCCGATGTCGCCCCCGACCCTCAAAAAGTTTTGGGACTGAAGAACAGCGCGCCACTGGTAATTTGATGTGTATGTTCCAGCTTCCGACTCAAGCCGGCACATGCAGATTGATGTCCAGTCGCTCCTGCGGTGAGTCACCGCCGCTTGTACTGTGAACGGTCGGGCGAACGTGCGGCCACGCTAGTAGACTGATCCCCTCGCGACCGCTGGGGAAACCTTGAGCTTGTGCAGTTTGGGTGTCATGTCGGAACCCTTCCTGGTTGCTGTTGGATCTTCTTGGGCGCATTTGGGGCCGTCTTTTTGGCGAGCTTGGGGTCGTCTTGGGCCATCTTGGGCCGTCGAGCGTCCGAAACTTAGACTGCGCGACACACCTTGAAAGAGTCAGGAAGGATTCTCATTGTTTGTGCCTCTTGGGGCCCTCCTGGGGACCCTCCTGGGGCCCTCTTTTGGCGTTTTGGGGGCTTTCGGGTCGTCTTGAGCATTGGGTAGGCGTTCCGCTACGTAACACGGTGACGGGTATTTTGGAACTTTGCAAACGGCGCAGTCACGCGCGTGCACCAGTTAGTGAGGGCTGGCTGGGGCTTCCAGGTGGGCAAACATATCTCCCTCTCGAAAGAATAGTAGGATGGACCTCCCTCCCGGGCCCAGACTTAACGCCCTCGGGACATTGCAATTGTACACATGATTTTGCCTCACCGTTCATCTTCTGCTGGAGATCATACTATCCCAACCTGGCCAGTATCGCCCCGTTGGCCCATGTCAAATAATACCATGCTCGCGCCCTCGTGCATCCCACAACTTTTTACATGGTTTTTGGCTTTTCCTTTTCTCAATCACCCCTTGCAGAACATGGCACGATGTCCACATGCGCCCGCTTGCCGACATCATGCCAAGCACTCGTTTTGCAGGCATGTCAGCATACACTCAGCAGACACCACCATTCGGTTTTGCTTCGCAGGTCGTCCAGGTATTCTGACCGCGTGCACCTGCCGATATCACGCATCCGCATCTGACCGCGCGGCGCATCCGCGTTGCTCCAGCCCGCGCCCAGTACACGAACCCGTATCAGTTAGCGCAGTGCGGGCCACGCGCGCGCGCCGCCACGAGCGCGTGCCGACATCCCTCCGAAGCAGGTGGTCTCGGAACCATTTCCTCGGCATCGCTCGGACGTGTGCATTTGTCCTTCGGCGAGGACCATCGAGGAGCATCCTTGATCATTTGGCGAAAGAACCACGCACGAAACCAACAAGTGCACGGGAAATGGACGTCCGAGCGATGGCCAGTTTCAGGATATCGCTTTTCAGAAGCAGACAGCACATGCTCTTCAGCAGATTGACCTGTGAGTGTTGTCGGATTTCTGCGCGCGCGCACTTTCTCACCATCCTTCTCTCGAGCTCCATCGCATCACCGCCGCCATTGTCATAGTGGATCGTCGCCCTTGCCGCCAGCAGTGGCCAACCACTATCATCACCGACACATGGACATCATCATCGACATCGTCGTCACCAGCATCCTCGCCAACATTGGCCTTGCCGTCGTCATCGTCGTCATCGCCACCACCATCGCTACTGTCATCATCGTTGCCGCTGTTGTCGACGTCGTCATGATCTCGCGCTCGCCCGAGTCACCCATCCGCACCGCAGTGCCCGCGCGCTAGCGAGGCCTTTGAGACGCGCTGGAAGTTCCCGTCGGCAAGCGCCATCGCGGCCGCATCAGTCATGCCAAAGCAGCTGGCTGCCCTGGCGCGCGCCAGCGCAGCAGCAGAGATGCGCCAGCCAGCGCCATGCTTATCCGCAATCGCGGCCGCACGGGTTTTGCAACATCAGTTTCGGGTGGGAGGGTGGGACCATTGCGCGAGCACTGGGGTCGACAATTCGCTAGCGGTCGTTAAACAAGTGCACCACGCAGCTAGCACCACATAACATGCAACACACATCTCATACCACACAGCTTGCACCACACAGCTTGCGCCGCGTAGCTCGCACCGCGGAACTTGTACAGCATAGTTAGCATCACATACCCCACGCCACATAGCAGGCACCACGCAGCCTGCGCCACATAGCTTGCACAACGTAGATTCTCCTTTCTAAAAGACTAATAGATTCTACCCCCCCCCCCCGGACTTATCGGTTCCCCCGCGCGTGCTGTAAATTACATATGATTCTGACCACATGTCCATCCTAAATATGAATTCGTACCATCCCAGCCAAGCCGGGTTCCCCCCCCCTGCGGTTCCCTGGTAAAAAACACTATGCGGTGACATGTTTTGTTCTAACATAGCACTTTGTCACGAATCCCTTGCAAAAGATGGGACGAAGTGCGCACGCGCGCGTCGTGGCGCTCGCATGCCGAAATCCTTCAAAAACCTTCGGTTCCGGAGAGATTTCAAAATTGAATTTCCAAAAAACATATAAAAACACATGGTTTCGCAGCACTGATTCAAAAAACAACTTATGCGCGAGCTCTTGCGAAATCTTAAGAAAACCATAGGTTTTCCAAGATTTTCACAAAATGCTACCAAACGGGCTTCGCGCGCGCGCATGTCGAAATCTGTCGAACGCTCTTGCGCGTGTGCCGTCGCGAGAATCCTCTGCAAAAAATGAGACGAAGTGCAGACGCGCGCGTCGTCGCGGGCGTATGCCGAAATCCTTCAAAAACCTTCGGTTTCGGATGAATTTCGAAATCGTGCGTCCAAAAAACTCTACAAAAACACAAGGTTTCGCAACACGGGTTTTCAACAACATTGTGCGCGCGCGCGCGCTCTTGCGTCGTCGTCGTCGTCGTCGTCCTCCTTCCTCCCTCGTCGTCGTCGTCGTCGTCGCCGTCGTCGTCTTCTGTCTTTCCTCGTCGTCTTTGGCGTCGTCGTCGTTTCCGTCGTCGTTGTCGCCGTGGTCGTCCTTCCTCCCTCGTTGTCTTCGTCGGCGTCTCGTCGTTGTCCCTCCTATTTCGTCGCCGTCGTCGTCGTCGTCGTCGTCGTCGTGGTCTTCACTCCTCCCTCGTCGTTATCCTCCTCCCTCGTCGTCGTCGTCCGTCGTCGGCGTCTCGTCGTCGTCCCTCCTATTTCGTCGCCGTCGTCGTCGTCTTCGTCGTCGTTGTCATCGTCGTCGTCTTCCCTCCTCCCTCGTCGTTGTCGTCGTCGGCGTCGCCGTCCTTCCTCCTTCTTCGTCGTTGGCGTCGTCGCCGTCTTCCCTCCTCCATCGTCGTTGTCGTCGTTGTCGCCGTCGTCGTTTTTTCTCCTCCCTCGTCGTCGTCTCCGTTGGCGACGTCGTCGTCGTCTTCGTCGTCGTCGTCGGCGTCGTTGTCGTCGTCGTCGGTGTCGTCGTCGTCGTTGTCGTCGTCGAAAACATTGGAGACGTCGTCGGTGTCGTCGCAGTCGCTGTCGGCGGCGCCGTCGTCGTCGATGTCGCTGTCGTCGTCGGTATCGGTGTCGTGGCCAAGTGCCACGCAGTACCTACCGTCACGGTCTTGTCTGAAGATGTCTTGCGACCAAGTTGCGGGTGGGAGGGTGGGATGTTTGCACGAGCAGTGGAGAGGACAGCTTCAAGACAGTCGAAGTGGATTGCACCACTTAGCTTGTACCACATTGCTTGCACCGCGTAGGTGGCACCACGTAGCTTACACATGCAGGTTGCAAGAGTGTGCAGTGCTGGACCCACGATGGCAATTATTTATTGTTCATATACTGTGCCATTCTTATGACAATGACTTTCCCTTTCCCTTTTTCGGTCTTCATACATGGGCAGTATCTGGCAGGCATTGCGAGCGGGGGTGCAGAATGCGCGGCGCGGCGCCATGCAGGGGATCGCGCATCGTGGCCGCGAGCGTTACGTCGTTGCCATCGCCGTTACCGCTGTCGCCGTGCCCGCAGCGATGCCGCCCGCGCCCATTTGAGCTCAACCTTGATTCCTCGTTGCGAGATCCGAGTGCCAGCAGACAAGCGGAAGCGGAGCGCTGCGTGTGGGCTGCGCGACTTGGCGGAAAACATGTGCTCTCATATGGACCATCGGAAGGTGGGCATTTCTCGTCGGCGCAGGCACTGCGCACGACAGCGCATAGGCACCGCGAGCATTTCAAACACGAGGTGCGGGGATTGCCGAACCATTTCATCTCTCGCGCAGGCTTCACGAAGCATTCTCTGGCGGGCGCAGGCGTTGCGCATGGCAATACGCAGGCACGTAACAAAGGGCACAGGAGTTGCCCTGTCGCGATTGTCTTAGTGCGTGCTCCGCCGGCATTGCGTCTCGTCGGCGCAGGCGCTGTGCAGGACAAGGTTCAGGCACCGTTGGCGCGTCGAAACACCCGGTGCAGGTGTGGCGTGTGCATCGCTGTCTTAGCGCATGCAGCATCGGCATTGCCTTTGCTATCGCAGGCGCTGTCTATGGAAACGCGCAGGCACACCGCAGGCACGTCAAAACAGACGTTGCAGACATGGCCTGGGCATCGACGTGGTATCGCAGGCACCGCAGGCAGGCATTGTTTTTTTGTTGGTCGGTGCAAGCGCTTCTGCCTGTCAAGATGGGTGGGACTATGATCGAAGATGTCCACGGTGAGTCACTGCCG